TATACTACTCATTACTATGAATACCTGATGATAGCCATAAACTACACAGCCAAACCGCATGTCAAAGAAGAGAGTTCAAGTTCTGCAAGCATTTTTTTCTGGCATTTCCTACCCTCTAGATGTGAAATGAGCATCATGGATTAGAACTAAAGTGTTATTAAAAAGAAAACATTGTGTGAATATATCACTATGTAAAATAGCAAGCAGTGTAAACGTGACTTCAGAAACAGTGCTGTAAAAACATGTTTGAGTTTTTGAGAAGTTATATATGGTCCAACACTCAGACACTGGCATAATATTACTGCAATAGCAGAGATCTTAAGGATTTACCAGGCAAACAAAATATTAAGAACACCCTTTAACACCTGAGAGTCAAAAGCTTCCATTAATTTCCATAATATGAACCAGATCTAAAGCTATCTACATGCTTTTAGTTACTATCTCTTGAACAGACTCGCAAGAAATTTCAAGATGCACAATTCTTCACATTGCTATTCAAGTCATTTTTTATTTTACCTTATCCAAGGATCACTGTGCAGACTCATGGAAATACAGCCAAACAATAGAAGAATTATGCAAACTGAAAGTGCTCAATCTTTCCAAATGGAAAGCTTTCTATTTTTATCCTAATGGCAGAGCCAGGGTCTCCTCTTGCCATACAACAGGATCTAATTGCACCTGGTCTTATATTCTCAGGAAGTATTAGAACTGCAAACCACTATCTGTGCTTCTTAGCATACACAATATCCCTACTTGTATCAGAGGAGTCCTAGGGAAAGGGCTGGAAGCTGGCTACTGTCATTACCTTGCCTGTTGCCTTCTGAAGCTAGGCAGCTGTCCAAAACAGTCTAGGAGGTTCTGTGGGTCCCACAGACACAACCATCTAAAAACCTATATGCAACAGCAGAGTGAGGGTCAATCAGGTATTCCTCAGGCCTGAGAGTTAGAGATCATAAAGCATGCTTATGATCTGTGAACCAACATCAGATATTTCTTGCCTACAGACAGCTTCACATCTCTTATTTTGGAGATAGTCAACAACAGATGATCCTATCTTACAGATAGGTGGGTTGCATATTAGCATCAATGATACCTAAAGACAACAAAAATAGAAGTTTAAGTACGCTGAGAGAGAAGCTTTGTAGCACCTTGCAATGCAGAGGCCTGCAGAAGGCAGCTTTTATGCTGAGAGTAACGCACATTTTTTCCTTGGCACCAAGAAATATTTTTGTGGAGTTACATGTTTTACCAGTTACAACTTCTATTTGCTTATTTTAAGCTTTCTAGGAAGCTCCTACAATACCAAACTTTTAAACATGGTGCTCATACTTGCCATAAGTTATCTGTAAGTTCCATATCAATTCACTGCTCTGAAAAAAAAATAAATTATTCTCACATATTGCAAGTCGCTTTGAAATCAAAACAAATCCCTTGGAAGAAGCTGAGATCCAACAACACAGAACTCTAAACAGCACACAGTTAACAAGTTACAAAAAGCAGGGAAAACAATGCTGTAACAAGTATTTAGCCCCCAAATTACTTGAAAAAACTAAGCATAATGCTTGGGTTCCTCCTCCCCACTTGTGTCAAGACTTGCTCCTTCATGTAGCAAAAACACCTCATGAAATAAATTGTCTTAAGAACTATCAAACTCTAACAGTGCAGTTCATTTTTCTTGTTTCCTTTCATGTTAGGTGTATTCATTAAGGGTTGGACTTGATGATCTTGGAGGTCTTTCCCAATCCAGTTGATTCTATGATTCATTCTCATCTACCCAGCCTAAATCCAAGGAGCTTTCAATATTGACTCTTGCTCTACATTAAACATGCTTCTTGACACAGCATATTTGGTCAAACTGTTCTTCTGGGCAGCACTACACATCTAATGAAGTTTTTATTTATATAATTTCTCACTTGCACCTTCCCTGAAATATTGGGTCCCAGTACAAGAATGGGAGATAACCAGTGCATGAAATAACTCCTTCCTTGAGGGTGGTGATCTAGAACCTGAGCAAAAGGTTGCCCAAAAGATTATTCCCAGTCATAATGAATAGCTACATAAAGTCACTAGATAAGGCAAAGATTGACAGGGATAAGGAGAGCCATGCAGAAACACCTGGATTTGTGACAACCTTCACTGCAGATGTGCACTTTTAGTTGATTGCATGAGGGGGGCTTGTGGTTCAGAACTGCTCCTATCCCTCATTGATACAAGCTGCTCTCCACAAAGTGGTTGCTGCCCTTTCCATCTACCTAGGAGGTCCTAAACTATGACGTACTGCAGTAGACCCGAGCATGCTATATTAGTTTATAAAATATGCTTAGATGCTGTGCTTGAATTTTTAACAAGTCCCCAACTTTATCAATATCTTAGTGCTGGCTACAATAATCTACCATTTAAACAAACATTCAAGGGGACAGGTTTTCTGCTTCAATTTATCAAATACTGGTTACAGGATTAGCAACTGAAACCAGAATCTGTTGAAATGTTGAACCAGCCTTTAACAGCAGTAGCTCCTATCAAGAAGGTACAAAGAGAACACTTCTCGTATTTCAGTTTATTCAGCTAGTTCAACAATCCAGAGAGAAAGGTCATATTTATCCAAGAATAAAGAAGGTGCCAAAAGCTGATGTTACCAGTTCCAAGTGATCCATGAGCACAAATCAAGCATTTGTATTCCCAATCAACTATCACTAACACTTTAAGGTTCCATTAAACACAGGCCTTTTCTCAAAATGTTTAACTTAATTAGAAGGCTTTGTACTTCCCCTCTAGTTCCTACCCTCAAACCACACCTCAAGGGGAAGAAAATTCCCAAACTCTCATTGCCACAAAATTGAAAAAAGTTAGAGTGCATATTTCTAATCCTGCTTAGCTACCTTAGGAAACTAAAAAGACAAAACAAGATGAAGCTAGATATTTCATCAAGTCAAGAAATCTGAAAAACTAATCAGATGCTGATCTGAACTAGTGCTCACCTTGCATATACTATGAATATATCATAGAAGTCACCCCACAAAATAAAGTTAGATATTTACCTTATCTCTAAATAATTCAGTAAGCCAAGTCTAACACATCTAAAAGTTTGCCTGAAGGCCCAATACAGACAAAGTCAACAACATCACTTCTCAGGACCACAGGACTCCTCCCTAGTGACAGAACAGTGGTCTAAAAATCACTTTTTCATAGGTTCAGAAGTTAAGATGCATAACCAAAGATCAAACACTACCAAAACAAAGCCCACCATGCGCAGCTCCTCATGGAGGAAAGATGAGACAAAAACAACATATGAGCCATGCTGCTTGAAGGGAATTCCTCTACTGTGGAGGGACAAAGGCATCACGAGACCTTCATCTCCCAGTCAAAATAAGCATCATAGGATTGGTCAGAAGGATTTAGAAGAAAGGTACAACAGTTCAAGGACATAAAATACCAAAAGAGATATCACATTCATAATACTGAGGTAAGGCAACTGGCAACATTTGTTAATGCACATCCCTGGATTATTTCACAGGCTGCTTCAGCTTCTTTCCAGGAACAATTACAAGCATACAGTCCAGAGAGTTCCCCAACCAAAGATATTTTGATCCAATGTGATTTCTTTGAAAAAAATGGATGAGTAAGGTAAGGGCAGGAAGAGGCTGCCAAACCATTTGGATGTAAAAATGACCCAATTACCAACCCAAGACTAGAGCAACTTCCTGAATAAGTAATAATGAAGGTGAGTCTAAGAATACACCTATCACACCTACATGAGCATGCCAACCAACTCATTAGAAAAAGCAAGTCTTGTGCCAAAGCCTTCCCTTCCTTCTAAATGATGAAGCCAAACCAAATGCGACTCAAATCTATTATTCCCCACACTACAGGTTATTTTGGTTTTGTGTTAAAAAAACTCTTAAACCTTGACCCAGAGGCCAAGATGCATGTCAGCCAAGTAAAGAAATCATCCAAAAATTAAATTTGGTTTGACAGAAATCAAAGGGCATGAAATGACAGACACAAGAGTCACTACTAAAACAATAACTCCTGGGAGAAGCAAGCTTAAGAGGACATTAATTTGCTAGAGACCAAGCAGACATCAAGTGCAAAGGAGTATGCCTGATGCAACATATCTTCTGCAGGCACCATGTTTTTTCAATTGCTTCCTTTAAGAAAAAACATGCAATTCCTCCTCCAATTGTTTTGAGAATTTAAGTCTTCTCCCTTTCTGGGGCAGCAGTGCCAGACTTCTTGCTTAATATATTTACAAGAGAACCACAAGATTTTTTTTTTGTTAACAGGAAGACAGAGATGAATTAAAAGCATTTATCTACCTTCATCAATTATGTGTTGCTGTAGCCATTTGAAGGCTGCCCTCTAGAAGTTTAGAGAGGAAGAAAAGGAAAACGGGGAAAAGAAATAATGAAAAACAGTCCTGAAGTCCATGAATTTTTGAAAAAATACACCCTTTATCCGGAATTAGTCATCCTACACAGGATGTTCCTACATGACAAACAAAGCTATCGGGGGAAGCCCCCTTGAAATAAATATACACAGACTAGAGCCAAGAGGATAACTTGGGGGTGAAAGGGAAGAATTTGCACCGTGCCATGAGGTACCTCCCTTTCTTTGGGGTTAAAACAGAGAAAGAATAGAGACAGCTGTAACACGGCCTCCTCTCCCCAGAGGGCATCCTGAGAGAAGACGCCCTACAGGCCCCAGCCAGCCGGCCCTGCAGACCGTCCCCCCGCCACCGGCAGCGGGCGGGGAAGGGCAGCTCGCAGAGCACCACCTACGGGCGCCGAGCCGCCCTGTCCTCCCTAACCCTGGCCCCCTCCCGCGAGGGGCGGAGGGGTTGACAGCGGCCGCGGGACCGCTACCCCGCCACGGCCCCTCCGAGCCCGACAAAGAGACCTGGCAGGCGGCGAGGGGAATGGTGCAGGCCCCGGCAGCCCCACGCCAGGACCTCCGCGGCGGCGGGAGGCCCGGTCCACCAGCGGGGCGGGGAAAGGTCGTACCTTGAAGTACCCGCCCTCGTAGAGGGTGTTGGGGGGCCCGAAGATCGCCACCTCCCAATTGTAGAGGTCGGACTCATCGACCAGGGTGATGCGGAAGCCCTCCACCGGCTCCTCCTGCAGCGACTTCAACTCCAGCATCAGTGCCTTCTGCGAGCTGCTCATCTGCTGCTGGGCCATGGCGCGGCGCGGCCCCCGCCGCCCACGCTGCTGCTGCCGCTGCCCCGCCGCCGTCGCGCTGCCCCCACGGGCCCCCCACCCCTCCCCACGCTGACAGCCGTCGCCGCCGCCGCCGCCACTTCCTTTTGTGACGGCGCCCACTCGCAGCTGACCTCAGCGCGCCGCGCCGCGCTACATGGCAAGCCACACCCCACCCCACGTCCCGCCCCTACCGGCGCGCTTAAAGGGGCAGCGCTCTCCACCACAGCGTTTGTGGAATGTATGAGTGAGTGGTTCCTGGTGTTGCATCAGCCCTTACGGACCAGGCCCGCATCTCGCCTGGAGCGGAAGAGAAGTTGCGTGCTGAGTTATGAGTGGGATGGAGGGGGTGGTGCTCTGTGGGGGTCACGGGTGGGTACGGCGGAGCATGGCCAGTCCGTGCTGCTGCGCTGACAGAAACTCACGGTCAAAAAAGAGCAGTTTTTGTACAAAGGATGGTTTTTGAGAAGCGACCTTGCATGACCCAGCGTCCCCTAAAAGCCCTGCAGCAACCCCCAAGCAGCAGTAGGAGAGGAACTGGCAGTTACCTCTCTCCCATGGGTGTTGTTTTCAGGTGGCTCCACAGATGTGTGAGGTGCTACAGGCAGAAAATGCAGTTTCAATCCTTCCTCCCATTTTTAGATACAGTTAAGGGAGAAAAATGTTTGCAGAGGTGGCAAGGTACATCACCTGTGAATGTGAGCAAGCACCTCATCGTTCTTGTGATGTCCTATTCCTTATCTGGCCTCTAATAAGTAATAATATTGTTAACTATATTATTAATGGTAAAAATAAATAAATGAAAAACCCAAAGTGATTGTGCAGGAGGAGGAAAAATAGCATAGCACAACCCCAGATGTGGTGAATCTGGGTTTCACTACTGGAAATGTTAATGTACGCACCTGGCTTGGCAGCACAAAGGACCACCCAGCTGCATAAGAAATATCTGGCATGGAGACAGAGTTGCAAGCTGGACATCTTAGCCAAGACAGGAGAAGTAATAAGGATGTAACAGCCCTGACAGAGAAAAGCTGATGTCTATTTCTTGGTAAAGAATTAATGTGGTTCTAGGAGGAATAATTTAAATAAATAATAGGCTGTGATAAGTTCTAAAGTAATTGTAATGTCCCCCAAAATGACAGAGTTATTTGAAGGAAATCTCTGTTGTCTATGGACTTGTGATCAAATAAAATTAGAGATGAATAAAAGTGAAAATCACGTAATGCCTTAATATAAATCTGTGGCATTAGATTACATGGAGTCCGGGGATGAAATGGTAAAAGACCCTGAGATGCTGCTATATAGAGAGGGATTGAGGAGTGTTTACCTTTAGAGATTACTACCCTGGAGTGAGCTCAGATTTACAGAAAGTTGCTTAATTCTGCTCTCACATCCTCAGCCTAGGGGCTGGAGGGCTGGATCACAAACTCTTGTGTGGCCGAAACACTGTTGGAGGAGCTCCTCAGTAGCCAGGTCGTACTGTGCTGGGTGTGTTTTCTGGTAGGAGCTCAGACCCATGTTTTTGTTATTTATGTCTTAGAATAGAACAGAATATACTAGAATAGTTCAGTTGGAAAGGACCTACAATGATCGTCTAGTCCAACTGCCTGACTACTTCAGGGCTGACCCAAGGTTAAAGCATTTTATTAAGGGCGTTACTGTCACAGGAGAGAGTGGAAGACTTAGACAAAGTTAGTAAAGAAGCCCTGCTGTTGAAGTCACAAGATGCAGGAAGGACTCCCTTGCTTTCTAAACTCCTTCTCAGAGAAGAGTCTAGGTGAGGTTGAATCCTATCTTAGCCTCAGACTGTGTCAACAGTTTAAATTTAAGGAATTATAGAGGTGTGATTAAATCACTTTGTCCCACAGGTTTTAATAATGGCAAAATGGATATATTTATATAAAATGAATTATTCATTATGACAAATGAACAGACGAGTGAACAGATGAAAGATCTTAATCAGAATTATTTACTACACTGTCTAGAAACTAAAAACCTACTAGTAGGGTATAATATAGCATAAAGTAGTATAGTGCACTGTATCAAAGCAATTATATTAAAGCAATTGTATCAAAGCTAGCAAAAGAAACTATTAAGTAGAGATTGATATAACTCACCATACAAGATAGTGGGCAGATCTCTCTCTTAACCCCTGGGGAGTAACCATGAAGAGGTATCCCTGCTTCACAGGAGAAGCTCCGCACTTCAAGGAAGTCTGTGGAAGAATCTGCCATATGAAAGTTGGACTAGGCTTTTATAGTTATAAAGTGATGGACTGGTAGTCATAGATTTACAGGCCAGAGAGCAGCTCATCTGTCAAATCCTGCTTAAAAAAGCAGGATGTGTGTTTGAAGTTTGGTGAACCAGGCTGGTTTTAGCATAATTCAACACCAAAAGAGCACTCTGGTGCCAGCAGTAGAACTTGTATGATAGCTTGCATTGTATGCATTCTCTGATCAGATTCTAAGCCTTATAGGGGTAGGCCATCCTGCCACAGTTACCCAAATGCCTCTTAAACACTGACAGGCATGGAGCATTGACCACCTCTCTAGGAAGCCTGTTCCAGTGTCTGTCCACCTTCTCTGCAAATAAATGCTTTAGAATATCAAGTCTAAACCTCCTCTGATGCAGTTTTGAACCATTCCCACAGATCCTGCTGTATACCAGGGAGAAGAGATCAGCATCTCCCTCTCCACTTCCCCTCCTCAGGAAGCTGCAGAGAGCAATCCGATAGCCCCCTCAGCCTCCTTCTCTCCAAACTAGACAAACCCAGAGCCCTCAGCTGCTCCTTATAGGATATGCCTTCCAGCCCTTTCACCAGCTTTGTTGCCCTCTCCTGGACACATTCACATACCTTAAAATCCTTCTTAAATTATCTTGGGTTGATGGACATAATGTTTTGTCAATACAGGATTGGGTTGATTGGCAGGACATGTGGGCTGGGAGCTATGTTTTCACTTTGGTGCCAGGCTTCCTGGGCAGCAAGTACTTCCATCACCATTAGATTTGTCCAACCATCTCATCTGGGTTACATCTGAAAGTGTTGCAGATATGATGCTCTCAGCAATGCTCTCTCCAAGAGAGAAAAAGCTCTTCACGTCTGCCCACCGTGTCCAATCCAGCCCCATGACAGGGGTCAGTAATGAATCTTTGTATTTATCCCTATTCTTCCCAATCCCAGCATCTTGGTCCCAGCTGCCCATGCTTCATTACTGCTCCCTGCTCCCCAAACCTTATCAGCCCCATTCACACCCCCATCCCCACCTCCCAAATGCCCAAGTTTAACCCACCATCATTCCCAAATGCCCCAACTCTAGCACCCACTTACAGCTGCCCCTCCACATGACCTGTTTCCATTGCTAACGAGTCTAATAATGCATCCAACCTGGAGGGCCACACTGTTACCTTCCCCAGTTGATGCCAGGCAGCAAGGACCTGATCCATTAACACAGCATCCCAGCTCACACTATGGTCAAACATGGCTTTGCTCAGGCTTGGAGGAAAATGTTAGGTTGATTCAATGTGCAGAAGATGAACCCTTTGGGGATTGTACTCTCCCTATTTCTATGGTAATCGAAACACCTTTCCTTGCAGCCAGCCTCCAGCACAGGCTTTGTCTGAACCAGCCCAACGCTGGGAGAGATGGGAGAAGCAAACTTTAGAGCTTTTCAGGATTTCTCCCTGCCTGCTGCCTGTCTCAAATGTTAATGAAAGAGGCAATCATGCAAGGCAGAAAGTAAAGCAAGCCCTGGTGTATTCAATAGGGCAGGCTGAAAATTTTCCATCAGGTCTGCTTTTGGAGAGAATATTGGTCTTTTTCCCCCCAGCTTTTTTTCCCCCCTCTCTTACGAAAACATCTGATGATCGCAGAAAATAGAAACTGTCAAAGCAACAGAGAACTTTGAAGCCTGGGCAGCCCCCTCCAAGGTTCCTGTCTGCATTTCTGTCTGTGCTCCTGAGGAGGCTCTGCTGCTCTACCTGGGTCCCCTTCCCCATGACCAGGCTGCCCTGTGGCTGGCATAACTTTTTGACTTATATGATATTTCCCCCTCTGTTGGAGTATAGAGATTGTATGTGAACAATTTCTATTGCATTTCTGTAAGCCTTCCCTTGGCATATTTGGGTGTGGACAGTAAAAGCAACTGTTAGTTAAATATGGCTACAGGCTCTGAAGTTAGAACAAAAGAGGCTTTTTGCCAAGGTCAAGGAGGAGTTTTTGGCAGGTGAACAAGTTTTCTCATCTCCTCCTATGGACACCTGTTGTGGTCCAATTAGCACCGGACAACAAAGTATGTTTTCCTTATGTATCCAATGCTCTGTGTAGAAGAATCATACATCTGAGTGTCATAAGCAGTATATAAGGTGTCTTTCTTCTAATAAAACCGACATTTTGCCGACCATACTGGTCTATGAACAGTCTGTCCGTGCCCCTCCATCAACACCCCTTCTAATCAGAACCAATATATCTCAGTGAAAGGATTAAGCCTTGTCCTCACAGATGGTTACTGCCCACCTGCAAGCAGGGCTCTTCATGAGGTGTGCTCTGCCACAAAATGTAGAGTTGTTCTCTCTTCAGCTCCTTTTTTTTTTTTTTTTCACCTGAAGGAATCAGTTTGTTCTTTGGGCTCAGAGAACAAGAAATAGGGTCTGGTATATGAACAGGTGGCTCCAGGAAGGAGAAGTCTTACCAGGAGAGGAGGAGGCTACATGTGCCATTAATCCTGCCCCTGGCAGCAGAACTTGTCACTATAAACTGGACCTCAAGATGTCACTAGCGTCTGATGTAAATCTGAGATGAAAACTTCCATTCAATTTCTTTCTGCTTTGTTCTTATAATCTATTTTTGATATTTATTTTCTTCTTCTCTTTCTTCCTTCCTGCGAGCCATGTTCATGAAGGATGACAAACAGTCTTGTGCTTAGCTGACACCATTTCCTCTCCTGCTGCCTCCTCCCAGCTTCTCTGCTCTGCTGAGGCATCAGCAGAGATCCCAGTGACT